AGAGGAAGAGTGTGTGTGTGTGTGTGTGTGTGTGTGTGTGTGTGTGTGTGTGTGTGTGTGTGTCTGGGAAGGAGTGGGAGACTGACACTGAAATCAAAATGAGACTCCATGCCTCAGCGAGAAAGGGATGACTTGGAAGATAAGCGTCTTGCAGAAATATAAACATCCGATTTGGTTTCACTTGTCCCTGAAGGTTAAAAAGAAGTCTGAAGAAAAGAAAACACTGAACTTTTTCCTAATAACATCTTAACATTTCAGTTTATAACATTTTAAATGTAAGTTAAACAGGTTTAGAAGTAATCTTTTTTTTTTTCCCCACTCCATCTTCTCAGAAGTCAGAACACTGATCTGGTAATACCATCGGACCCCATCGAACCATGTTCCAGGTCCAACGATTACCCATACAAGTGAGAACATAGTGTTTCTGTGCATTAAAACACTGAAACAATATGTTGTCCAATAAAAATCAATTGAACGCCCCAGATCTCACTACTGCCCCCTGAGGTTTGCAGTGGTATTACACAGGGCTAAGGGTCTTTATTTTCGAGTTAGCTTTCTAATAACTTAAAAAAAGTCTTTGACATAAAGACACGTGTTTTTATTCTTCCTATTCATTTTTAAAATCTTACAACTACATATTTTAGTTTAAATGTTTTAAATTAATATGCAGAAATGGACTTATTAACACAAGCAGTACTTACAGCTTTGACGATTGGTTTAACCACTTGTTGGACTGACAGTAAGAAAATATCAATCCATGGAAATATTGCAGTATTTAATTTCCTGATGATGCATTGATTCTAAAAATTACTGTCAATTTTTATTAAGGTTTAATGATAACTGTTATAAGAAGAAATGTAGACAAATGTAGTTTTCACTGTTTAGTGTTCTTCTGATAGCATAATAATAAACTGAATTTATTTAATGTAATGCATGGTTTGCTCTTTATGCTGTGTTTTCTTAAATTTAGAATCTTATATTGATATAAACACTGAGATACATCATATTTTTACCCAGGGTATGTATCTTTATCATTAAGTTCTTGCCAGTACACAGCCCTATTGACAGTAGACCTGTTTACATTTCCGCCTTATTTATATTCTCATAAAATTAATATTACCATATCAGAATGGTTTTGAATACATTTCCTTCTAAACTCTGTGCAATTTTACAAAACTTGGCTGCACATCACTAGTGTGCAATGGCAGATTTTTCATTGGGTCGCTAAGTTACCTGCTTGCACTCATTTAATCCATGTTTTGATAGATTTTTTCCCCCATTTTGTACACAGCAGTGTTTTTGTAAGACTTCCATCGAATGCACTGTCACACTCGAACACAAATATGGCAGACTGCATGCACGCACAGGCTGACGTTGACTCTTCACTGGGGAGTTTAAGGGTTTGGCATTAATGTAAAGCATCAACTTAAATAGGATACTGCACACATGGTCACGTACTGTACGTCGCGTAATACGGCCAAAAATTCACATAAAAATAGGTCGTTGGTAGAAACTGATGTGATGTAAGTAGCTCTGTCCAAATCACGAACTAAGGCGCAAATGTCATAAGGTAGGAGATTAAAATAGACAAAAGCAAAGTCATTTTTAATCTCCAGCTAAGCTTGTGCGGCGGTTTCTGTATGTGAGTGTGTGTCCGTGTGTGTCAGTGTGTATGTGTGGTTCTGCACTTCCCTCATCCTCACTTTCTGCTTTCTATTCTCTGCTGCATCGATCTCTCTCCCCCCTTCTCGTTTCATTCTTTTTCTTTCATTTCCCTTCTTTCCTCAAAGGACAACTCACCCAATACACGGGGATCAATACGCACCTCACAAGCATAAAATCATTGTGGTGCGTGCGCGCACACACAGCGCACATGTATTTATGTGAAGGATCTCGGTTGGTACTATGCTGGTATGTGAGGTGTTTTTTTACTTTGCAGAGGGGAGAAAATCCGTTCCTTTGAAAGGCATGATCTGTAATTTCTACACAGTGTTGCCTTGTTGAGATATTACTCCACCACTGGCTTTGTTTTCACAGTGATTTATTACGTTTTGGATATTTTGTCTGTGTGAAATGTTATTTTCTGGCTGTTTGACTCCGTGAGACAGGGATTGAAAGCATATGAGATTTAGAGATGAAATTAAAGCTCGGTTGATGTTTTAGTTTATAAATGGAATAAGACATACTTTGGAGGAATGGTGTGGCTTTCTTTTTCCAAGTTAAGGAAAGCAGAAAAACGGTTTGAGTCTGAGCCAAACATGTGTGAACGCATAACAGGTACAACAAACCACATGTGAATCGCCAACAAAATTTAGTCCACCTTGTGAATTCCCACCTCGCCCCTGTCTTGGAAGATTATTCCAGGAGCGGTAAATGGACGCAAGCAGCGTGAGGAAGAATTTCTAGCTCTGACCTTTATAAATACAATGTAATCTTCTTTATCCCATGTGGTCCTAATGCGGGACTGATACCCAGACCTTTGGGATTTTAAAAGTCCCACGCGTGACATTCAATTTCATGTGAGTCGAGTGAAACTGCAGAGGCGACCAAACGAGGTAAATGGGAATATGTGCTTTCAGCAGATCAGAGAAGAGTTCCTTTAAAGTTTCTCTTGTTTGCATTTCTGCCCAGTAGAGCTAATTATGTTGAAAGGACAGATGCACACACTGCAGCTATGTTTTCATAGAGTTCCTATTAAACATCCCTTCTCTCTTTCTGTGTCTGTATGCATTCATGTGTGTCAGGCTACATGTGTATCTGTGTAACGGCATGTGCTGCTGCTTGCACACTGCTTGCATACCAAGTTACATGCAACACGTTTTGCATTTGCATTCTGACTGAGTGTGGGGAAGAGTATGTGTGTTCTGAGAGGAAATTAAAGTTTGAATTATATTTTATTGGTGGACTGATAATTTGGCATTGCTTTGTATCTGCCACAGGAAATTAGAGCTTATGTTTGAATCTGTGTGTGTGTTTGTGTGTGTGTGATAAAGAGACACTGTCAATTTGTTTGCCTAATGCTCATATATTGTATTCTGAAGATATACTGCTATATAAACATTAATGCTTCYTAATTTATTTTGTCCAATCAACCAMAAGATACTTTGTTTCACTTTTAGCTTCCCAAATCTTTAACTTTATTATATAAAAGCAACAGAAAGGGCAGATAAATATCCTAAAAACAAGTAGAAGTTTAAGTCAGTCTTGTGTTCACACCTACAAAAACTGACAATTAATTCAAATTTTTGTGCACTAACAATAGACATTAGCAGGATTTGTTTTGCAAAATGTATTTGAAACTGCCACAGATAACAGTTTCACTGTATGTATTAAAAAAAACAAATATTTCTTCTAAATAACTACTCTACAATATAGTAGATTGGACAACTGGGAGATGATGGGTCTCTCTTAGGTATATCTTAGGTCTTTGGTTGATTTTTTTTTTAATCTGTTTATTTAGAGACATGACTTTCTAAAGCAGATGAACAGACTCGTATAAATCTATTTTAGGAGTGACATTTCTTTTTTTTTCTTCTACACTCCCAGTTGTTTAAAGAAACTCAACAAACCATGATGACCATGCCAAGTTTTTAGCAAATAGGCTGGACTAAAGATGAAAGAAAWAAAAGAGCCATTCTTGAAAGAAAAAACTTAGAAGGAGCTTCATTTAATCAGAGAAACCATAGCTCAGGACCACTTAAAAAATACAAGAACTTTAGATGCTTGGAAGCAAACTTATGGGAAAGAAGGAAAAACTTTTGTACAGTTTTATGAATTTATTGTTACTAGATTTTAATGTGTTTTTTTTTTATTTTTATTGTTTATTTTACCACTGCTCCCTTTTTAGGTGTCAGCTTTCTTATTTTTGCTCAAATAAAAAGTTAATCCACAAAGTTGAACTACTGCATGCCACAGAAAGTTTGACTTTTAAAAYGTACACTCCAGTGAGCCTTGGCGCCATGTTTTGCACGGTCAGTTTCTGAACATCATGGCCTGTTTTCATGAGCAYGACCTGCAGAACTATATTGTAGGCCGAACACATTTTTTTTTATTTTTCTAAAAAAAAATAAAGCAACAATACAAAATTGCCCAACAACTTGCACTCCCATTGCAAACTGAACTGTGCACAACAAGCCAAATTTCTTGGAAATCTTAATAAAAGTCTGTTGTT